ACACACACACACACACAGAGGCAGAGACAGTGAGAAATCACCTTCCAGGGATGGCCATGCCACAATCTCTTCTCCTCTATTCTTCTCTCAGGATTTTAGGCACATATACCCACATGTCTGCATGAATTTCAAACTGCTAGGTCAAAGACTTGAGTCACAGTCAGCCACTTGGGAATGCAGCACCATAACCTTTACGCCACCTTCTGGTCCTGGGACTGGGTCTTTTTTGTTGTTAAACTCCTGGCCCCTAGTACACACCTATTTCATAGTAAGCAGTAAATATTGGTTGAACCGGTGAAACCAGCTTTAAATTTGTGTGAGAGTATATATTCAAATTAACTAAATCTATTGCACTGTTTGGGATTCTTGCAGATGGAGCTTTATATTGTGTTTGTCATAAATCTACATATTCTTCTCTTCCAGATGACTGTAATTGGTATGTATTAAAATTCATTTGAAAAAATAATAGTCTGAGCTGTATCTGCAATGATTTAATTTTATTTCTTGTTTTGGTGTTTTTTGATTTCTTTTCTGATTCTTTAATTTTGTTTTGAAAAATTATTAAAATCTTATTTATTCAGTATCTGGGCTTCTAAATGTTTTAAATAAAAATCATTATCATTGTGTTTCAGTGAATACTTAATTTGTTGGAAGACAGACATGCTGTTAAAATTGCTATCTTTTTTCCTCAAAGCTTGCTTTTGCTTTTTGGAAAATTGGTTTTTGTAGTTTTCTAATAGGATTCATATCTATTAGCTTAAGCAGCTATTTAACTTCTCTTTTGTTTGACACAGAATAATCCCAAATTACAAGCATTTAATTCTACTACCATTTATTTGGTACTTATTCAGTTCCAGTCACTATGCTAAGAAATCAGAATAACATAAAACATTGTCTTTTTTTTCTTTGTAGCAGTGTCCGATATGCAGAAGTGGCAGTATATTTTCTTAAGCTACATGATCTTATTACAGGTTTTAGTAAATATATGTTTTCTTCTTTCTCAGCATTAGTTTTAAATATATATTTGGTGAGTACTAATATAAATAGTGATGAAATTGGACTAGGTAACATTTTTGGAAACTGAAGAGGTTGAGTCATATAAGTATTTTTCTTACGTAAAACTCCGTTCTTCATCAAAAAAATCATTTGATAGATTAAATGTTCATTATGCCCTGCTTTGGTATCTAATCGTAAAATGATACGAAACAATCTAATGCTATATCCTCTCTTGGCTCAGTTAATACTCCTAGCTACTAGTTACACTGTGGAGTGTCTTTGTTGTGGTGGTTACGCTGACATTCTGTGGGATGGTCTTGAATTGTCTCCTATGTTATGGGCACCAGGATTGCTAACCCAGTGATACTGCATCTTCTCTTCACCAATTCATGATTCACGTTAGTGAAGAGTAATCATTCTGCCTTGAGTATAGTATAACTGTATTTTAAAACTTTTTTTTTTTTTTTAAGCAAAGTGGAGCTTGCTTTGACAGCTGATGGCAGGACGATAGTGTGCTATCACCCATCTGTGGATATTCCATATGAACACACAAAAGTATGTATGAGAAAAATCTCTTGTAGTTTTTAATTTGCCTTTAGAAGTGTTTACACTTCCTTACAGTCCAAAAAGAGAGGAGTTTGTCTGATTACCTTTGTTAGATTTAGATCTTTTGGCATTTTATTTAACTGTTTCAATTTTTCTCTTATTTATTTTTTATTTTTATTTTAAAACACTTCTCAACATACAAAGTGACCCTTTCTTGGGGCCAGCAGGTGACATAATGGTTGAGGTGCTGGACTTCCCACATGGTCAACCACAGTTTGAGTCCCAGACCTGGTGGTTTGCTTTCTCACTTTCTCTTTCTCTCTCTGTCTCTCTCTGGTGAACTCATGTGAAAAAAATAATAATGATAATAAAAAATAAAATAAATAATTCTTTTAAAAAATTACCTTTAAAAACAAACAAAATGAGCCTTTCTTCTTTTTTTTTTTTTTTTTCTTTAAATTTACTAAAGGGCATGTACACTTCCAGAAAGAGAGGGAAACTTAGAAAGTAGCCCTAATTGGGAATATCCACACTGCAGTCCCTTTTCCTTTGTTTCTCCATATGGGATTTTGGACATGCACACACATGCGCCAGGCTTTTTTCTCAAACTAGAGGGTCTGAGACTCAAACCGCACAATTGGCCATGTGGGAGCCAGCTTCCTTAACCACCAGGCCGTGGGCTGGCCCATTTATTCCCTTTTTTAACCTTACCATTTTGTCTACCTCCTTTGTATTCTACCAGATATTAATAGGCAGTAATCCAGTGTCCTTTCTCTTTCATTTCTTTGGGCTGTTGGCCTAAATCACAGACTTTAGCCTGTGCACCTTTCAGCTCACACTGTTGTGCTTTTGTTTGTTGTTATTCTGTGATGTATTTTGGTTGTGTGCTTTATCCCCGTTTTAGCCCTTCTACTAAGGAAGAAGCCTAAGACTGCCAGGTCATTTCTCATCATGCAGGCTCTCATCTCGGTAGGGCTCTGTATATCCCTGTATCTGACCCTTCTCCTACCCTTCTCAGCCCTCAGAACTTTTCCACTACACTTTCAAAACTTCTGTCATTGGCAAAATCTCCCATAACCTTAACCTCTTCCAGAAAGTTCTGGCTCTACCGTGGGGACATTATTTTCCCAGAAGTCTTTTTAGTAGTTGCTGTTTTCTGTCCCTTTTATCACTGGGCCTAGAGCTGGTGTGGTACCTCCTTGTTGTCTTATCTAGACCATTTTTTTCTCTTGCTTAACAATTTCTAGGTTTGTAGCTTATATCACCAAACCTTTCCATTTATCGGATCATTGGGAAAGTCATGACACATTTTTGCACAGAAAAACATAGAAAAATATGTCATGACTTTCCCAACGACCTAATACTATTTTTTTTTCTTGCCATCATCTACCACACCCCAGGTCATTTCTCCTCCCTTGCCCCTCCACTCTTACTCAAAGATTTTAAGCTTACTGTCACACTTTGCCACCCTGTTTCTGCCCTATTCTTTGTTATTTCTGCATCCATGTAGATGATGCATCTAACACCCTGGCCTTTCACATCTCAATCTTCTCTCCATACCTTCATCATCCACTCCTCTGGAGATATCCTAGAAATGTCCTAATTACCACTAGCCACTCCTCTTTCCTCTCAACCTAAATTTCAAGAATTGCACACTTCATCAGTATTCCTCTCTCTAGCCCAGAAGATCGCTAATGCGAGTTTATAAGTAATCCCTTCTGCTGCTGTCCTGGCCTCCCTGCTGTTCTTCAGTGGTAAGCGAGCTCCTGGTGTACTTAGGAGCCTCCATTAGGTCCTGCTTCCTTTGTCTGGAATGCTTTTACCCCAGAAACTCCCATAGTTTATTCTCTCACTTATTTGTTACCTAGCAAGGCCTTCCTTAGCCACTGCATTTAAAATCGCTCTGCCCCTGTACTCCCTGTTGCCCTCTGCTTTCCTTTTCTCAGTAGTATTTATCATTTCTGACACATCAAATGCCTTCTTGCTTGCTTTCTGTCCATTGCCCATTAAAATGTGAGTTTCATGAGGATGGGGCTTTGTCTGTTTTAGTCCCTGCTGTGTCTTCAGCTTCTGGAATAACACTTAGAACTTGGTAGGTATGCAGATGTTCGTTGATTAAATGAATACTTTCATTCCTCCCTCTTCACACTTAGGAGTTTTTCTGTTTTTGTTTGTTTGTTTGTTTTAGGTTTTTGCCATAGGGCGTGTGCATTCACTATAAAGAGACAGAGAGGGAAAGTGAAAAATGACCTCCTTAGGGAGTATGGCCATGCCACAATCCCGTTTCCTCCATTCTCCTCTCAGGATTCTGGGCATGCACACATATGTGCCTGGCATGATTTTCAAGCCACTGGGACCAGGACTGGAACTGCGGTTGACCATTTTGAAAATCCAGTGCTTTAACCTCCATGCCACCTGCTGGCCTGGGTTTTCTGTTTTAGGGCTAAAAAAAATTCACATGGAGAAGCGTGGAGGTTTTTGTCTCTCAAGCAGTCAGTTATAGATTGGGCTGCACAATAAGACACATTCATGAAAACATGTTACTGGTAGAATAAGGTGTTATTTGCCATTAGCAGTAAAGTAACAGTACATATGTATCCTCATACATGACTTAAAATTTAGACTTGATTTTCCTCTTAAGGAAGTAGGACTGCAAATCAGTGGGTGTGTTGGTTCTCTAGACCCTGGAAAACATACTACATACAGAGATTCTGGTCATACATAAAAATTTCGACTGACACAGGCTTTACGAAAGTTAAGATGATCTGCACTTTTGGTTTCCTGGTAATTCACTCACATTTTATTTGTTTGTTAGATTTTTTTCTTTATTCATGGTCGAGTGCATGCACGTTGGAGATAGGGAGATGAGATGAGCACCCTCCCCAATCTGGTCATGCTGGGACGCCCTTCCTCCAGTCCTCAGCCTATGATCTGGGGCACTTGTGTGCAGCCTGGGTGTTTTAGGCTGACTAAGCTGGATGTTCAGACCACAGTTGCCTTGTGGGATCTGACTTCTCTTAAGCTATGCCATGGAGCCAGCCCTCAATTTACTCACATTTGAATCTAAAATCTTTGGATTAATTTTCAATCATCTAAGTAAAAAGATTCTTCTTCCTAGTTCTACCAGATGTATATTTTATTAAGGGACTAATATTCCAAAAATGATTTTCTAAAATTTAGGCTTTCTAGTGAAGGAAAATAAAGGGGCACAAAAATGACAACTTGGAAAAAAAGTAAAAATATAAGTAACGAGCAATGATTACTTTAGTGGTTGATTTACTGAAAATTTTAAAATGTGAATTTTTGTTTGTTTGTTCTTAGTTCTTTTTCTTTTTTTATCTTTTTTTTTTTGAGAGGTTTTTGCTATAGGGCACATGAGCTCTTCAGAAAGACAGAGTAAGACAGAAAGCGAGAAATCACCCCCCTGGGGGATGGCCACACTGCAATCCCTTCTCCTCCATTCTTTTCTTGGGATCTTGGGCATGCATGCACATGCACATGCACCTGGCATGAGATTAAGCCACCGGATCCAGGATTCGAACCATGGTCAACTACCTGGGAGTCCAGCGACATAAGCCATTATGCCAACTGCTGGTCCCTGTGTGTTCTTAGTTTTGCCATAGGGCGCATGTACTCACCAGAGACAGAGAGAGAGACAGACAGAGAAAGTGAGAGATCACCCGTTGGGGGAATGGCCACACCACAGTCCCTTCTCCTTTCAGGATTTGGGCCACACACATACATGCGCCCAGCATGCTTTTCAAGCTGCTGGATCCAGGACTTGAACTGTCCCATAGGCCATGTAGTATCTAGCTACCTTAACCACATGCCAATGGTTGGCCCTTCAAAAGTGAAATTTTGAAAATTCTTAAGAAAAACAAGAGAGGGCCAACAGGTGGCATGGTGGTTGAAGTGTTGGACTCCCACATGGCTGACTGCAGTTTGAGTCCTGAATCTAGCGGCTTGCTTTCTCACCTTCTCTCTCTGTCTTTGTCTCTGTCTCTGTCTGGTGAGCGCACATGCTCTATAGCAAGTTAAAAAAAATAAAATAAATAATGCTTAAAAAAAAAGAAAAAGGAAACTTATGGTTCCGTTTTATTTTGGTTTTGCCTTTTTACTGAAACATTTATATACCCTTTCTTTGAAGTTTGATCAAGGAGAGCAAGTACTACAGAAAAATCAATGATGAGTCTGCCAGAGGCTCTTGGTATAGACTTTGAAGAATCCATTAATCCCAATGTCTTTTTATGTTTGAACCTAGAATACAAATTTTAATCATATAAGAGAATTTGTGATATATTAGATTTAAGCCTGCTTGAGAATAGGAAGAGAGACAATGAATATTTATTAAAACTTGAAAATAACTTTTTGATACTATCTAAAACATTGATCTTTTTTTTTTTGTTGGGGGGGGAGAGGTTTTTGCTATAGGGCGCGTGCGCTCGCCAGAGAGAGATAGAGAGACAGAAAGCGAGAAATCACCCCCCGGGGGGATGGCCATGCTGCAATCCCTTCTCCTCCATTCTCCTCTTGGGATCTTGGGCACACACGCACATGTGCCTGGCATGAGTTTATGCCACCAGGTCAGGGCCTCGAACTGTGGTCAACTACACGGAAGTCTAGCGACATAGCCATTACGCCAACTGCTGGTCCCAAAGTTAAGGAATTCTTTAAAAAATAAATAAATAAACTCATACTTTAACTCCTTAAGCTTTTTGAAGTACCCTCTTATGTCTGAATGCTTCTTATATGATTCTGAAGTCTAATTTTTTAAAGAATTATTTTTATTTAACTTCATTTATTTATTTATTTTAATTTGACCAGAGAGGGACAGAGTGAGAGAACCAGAGAGAGAGAGGGAAAGTGAGCTGCCAAGTCTGGAATTTGAACCATGGTCAACCATGTGGGAGTCTAGCACCTTAACCACCATGCCATCTGCCAGCCCCTAAAGTCTAATAATATATACATGGTCATTTTTAAAGCAAAACAATATTATAATCTCATTATATACATTATGATTTTTTTAAGAAAAGAATATATTTGAGCCACATGAAGAAAAAGGCATTACTTAAGAAAAACCGTAACAGTTTGTTATGTACCTAACATATGAGCATGCTCTTACATCTAAAACAAAAAATAAAAAGGCAACATTAGTACTACATGTGTGCACGTGTGTGTGTATATTTGAGAAGCGTGCGGGACCAGCAGTTAGCGTACCATCTATGTCGCTGAACTCCCATGTAGCCGACTGAGGTTCAAGTCCCGGTCCCGGTGGCTTAAAAAACTCAAACTGGGCGTGTGTGCATGCATGCCCAAGATCCCAAGAGGAGAATGGAGAAGAAGGAATTGTGGCGTGGCCATTCCCCAGGGAGTGATTTCTCGCTTTCTATCTCTCTGTCTCTCTCTGTCTTTAAGGCAAGCACACGTGCCCTATAGCAAAAACCTCTCCAAAAAAAAAAAAAGAAAAGAGAAGTGTGCATTTAAAACTTCTCTAATATAAAACATTCAGAATGCAGAGAATAGTTTTTCAAGATACAGAAAGCAATGGTTAAGATAGGCACTCCCCCAGTTCTTACAAAGAACATGCTTGCAAAGCTAAAATTCATCTGAGCACTTTTTTCTCAGATGTACAAAAGCTACAAAATTGTTAATCACTGAATATTGCCTATCACTTTTGCATTGTTGGAATTTCAACACTGATTGGTAAAACATTTTCATTATTAATATATTTTTTTCATTATTATAACATCATATTTATTTACTTATTTTTAGAGATCTTTGCTTTAGGATGCGTGTGTGCTCACCAGGGAGAAAAAGAGACAGAGACAGTGAGAGGGAAAAAAGTGAGAAATTTCCCTCTGGGGGATGGCCACGCCTCAGTCCCTTCTCCATTCCTCTCTCAGGATCTTGGGCACACACACACATGTACCCAGTGTGAGTTTCAAGTCACCAGATGTGAGACTCGAACCGCAACAGGCCATGTGGAGTCCAGCAACATAACTGCTACACCATCTGGTGGCCCTGAACATCATTTTTAAATATTAAAATCATTTTTACAGATATTGATGTCATTTAATATTTAAAATATGAGTAACTTATCCATCTAAGACAGTGATTCTCAAAGGCTTTGGTGAACCACTGGTGCTCACTAAATATACTCAGTAAATATGGAATATGTTTGTTTCAGTTGTGTGTTGGGGAGATGGAATATTTAGTATTTAATATATTCAAGGGGGAAAACTATTCAAATTACTTTAAAGCATTATTTGATGGCATTTTGGTCACTTGAAATGAAAACATTGAAAATTTCTCTGCTTCCATTGAACATAAAAATGCCTTTTTTCTTCCTTTTTTAGGGGGAGGGTGTTAGAAAGTGTGTGTGCTCGTTAGAAAGAAAGACAACGAGAGAGGAGAAGGTAGCCCCCATGGGTAGTGCTCCTCTCTCCCTTCTTTGGAGATTTTAGGCGTGCATGCACACACACTCAGCGTGTCCCTCAAGCAGCTGAGTCTGAAACTCAATTGGCCACCTGGGATCTGAATGTTTCAATCACCAGTCCACAGAGCCAGTTCCCCCAAAAATGTCATTTTCAGTGAAAGGCTTTTATTTTTATTGTACCTCACCTTAACAATATACTAAGTAGATCAGGAACTTTTTTTTACAAAAAGAATTATTTATTTAATTTTCTTTATTATTATTATTAAATTTGCTGTAGGGCATGAGTATTCACCAAAGAAAGAGATAGCAGAAAGTGAGAAAGCAAGCCACCAGGTCCAGGACTTGAGCCATGGTCGACCAAGTGGGAATCCAGCGCCTTAACTACCTTGCCACCTGCTGACCCCAGTAGATGGTAAACTTTTAAGTTGAAACATAATAATGGCACAATTTATATTTTTAGAAAATAAAAACTATATACTTTATTACTGAGGAAAAAACAACTTAAATAAGAACTTTATTTTTGGAAAAGAAATCCAGAATTTAATGTGAGAAGAAAAATATTTCTGTTAGTTTATTGAATAATGCAACTAAGTAAAATTCTGTTTTGATAACTTCTTTACCCACTTTGAGATATTGCGATGAATTGCTGCATATGTTGTTTTATTATAGATGTTACTGAGTGTAGGCTAACATTCCTGTATTTTTATGTTTCTGTTGTTTGTTACTGATTCTTTTGTAGCCTATCCCTAGACCAGATCCTGTGCATAATAATGAAGAAACACATGATCAAGTGCTAAAGTTCAGGTTAGAAGAGAAAAGTGAACACCTTGAACAAGGACCCATGATAGAACAACTTAGCAAAATGTTCTTCACTACCAAGCACCGTTGGTACCCTCACGGACAGTAAGTTCTGTTTTCTCTCCTTCAGCTCCTACTGGGCACGGTAGAGGTATACATAGCTTTCCTTGCATTAGCAAACTCTGCAGTGGTCTTCGGCATGGAGAAATTAATCCCAAGTATCATCTAAGAGTGATCATCTACTACACTGTACTTTTATTATTTTAGAATTATTTTATTTAACTTTAATTATTTATTTTAATTTGACCAGAAAGGAACAGAGTGATAGAGAGAGAGAGGGAAAATGAGAAAGCAAGCCACCAGGTCCAGGACTTGGACTGCCGTTGGCCATGTGGGAGTCAAGTGCCCTTAACCACCACTCCACCTGCTGGCCTCTACGTTGTGCTTTTAAATCTACTTACCTTGTAGCTAAAATGAAATAGTGTTTTGTGTTTTTTTTTTCCTTATTTTATTTGATTTCTATTTAAGAATTACTTAATTTTAAACATTTATTATTATTCTTTTTTAAAATTTTGCTGTGGGGATGTGAACTCACCAGAGAGAGGAGGGGTTGGGAGAGAGAGAGAAAGTTAGAAAGCAAGCTGCCAGGTCCGAGACCCAATCCATTGTCAGCCATGTGGGGGTCCAGCATCTTAACCATCACGCCACCTGCTAGCCCCTGCTTGATTTTATTTTATTTTTTAAGTTTTTTTCCATAGGATGTGTACGTTCGCCAAAGACAAAGACAGAGAGGGAAAGTGAGAAATCACCCTCTGGGGAGATGGCCACACTGCAATCGAAAAAAAAACTTTCCCTCCTGGGATTTTGGGTGCACATGCATATTCACCCAGTGTGATTTTCAAGCTGCTGGGCCCAGGACTTGAACCATGATGGGCCAGTGTGGGGACCCAGCACCTTAACTACTGTAAGACTTGCTGGCCCCCTTTTTGCTTTATTATAATGGGGGAATTAAACCAAAGCTTTCAGTGAATATATTATTTATTTATTTTCGTTGCCAAAAGGCATGTATGCTTACCAGAATAAGAAAGAAGAGCACCCTCCAGTGGGGTATGATCGTGCCACAATCCTGTTTCCTTCATTTCTCCACCCCCTCCTGAGTTTGGTTATACATACATATATGCCTGCTGTGTTTTGCAAGCCACTAGGATTGAGATTTGAACCATGGTCCACCATAAGGTATCCAATTTCCTATTCATAATTCTTAATCACTATGCTATGGCTCCAGCCCTAAGCTTTCAGTGAATTTTGTAAGTTTTTTTTTTTTTAAGCTACTCACTAAAAAGAGAAAAGGCACCATCCTAATGGGCAAAGTCTTCATCCTCCATCTGTTCTTCCTGTCAGGATCCTGAACACACAAATACATGTACCCAGCACATTTTTCTTTTCTTCTTTTTTAAATTTTGTCAGAGTGTGTACCTACTATGGGGATTGGTCATGCTGCAGTCCCTTCTCCATCTCCTCCTTTCAGGATTTTGGGAATGCACACACACAAGGCCAGTGTGTTTCTCAAACTGCCCAATCCGGGACTCAAACCATGTATAACCACATGGGATCCAGTCATCCATCCATCCATCTTTCTTTCTTTCTTTCTTTCTTTCTTTCTTTCTTTCTTTCTTTCCTTAGTTTTTGCTATATAGTATGCATGCTCACCAGAAAGAGACAGACAGAGAGGGGTGGGGAGTGAGAAATCACACCCCATAGGGGATGTCCATGCCACAATCCCTTCTTTTTTTTTTTGAGAGAAGATTTTCCTATAGGGTGCATGCGCTTAGGCAGAGAGAGACAGAGAGACAGAAAGTGAGAAATCATCCCCTGGGGGGATGGCCACACTGCAGTCCCTTCTCTTCCATTCTCTTGGGATCTTGGGCACTCCCACACCCGTGCCCTGCGTGAATTTAAGCCACCGGGTCCAGGACTCGAACCACAGTCAACTACATTGGAGTTCAGCAACATATCCATTATGCCAACTGCTGGTCCTCACAATCCCTGCTTTTCCATTCTTCTCTTAGTATTTGGGGCACATGCACCCAGAGTGATTTTCAAGCTGCTGGGCCTAGAACTCGAACCACAGAATCGGCCATGTGGGATCCAGCTTCTTAACCTCTGTACCACCTGCTGACCCTGGGATCCAGCCATCTTAACCACCATGCCACTGGCTGGCCCGAGGCCTCTCATTACTCACGGGGGTGGATGATGTACTGTTCACACGGTGGGGAAATGGGTTTGGGAGTAAGAAGGGTGAACCTGCTGTTGATCATGCTGAGTCTGAAGGGTCTGTTGATTATCTGGTGGGAGCAGTTCTGAAAGCAGGTGGATATTTGAATCTGGAACTCCGTTTATTTTTTTAGCTTCTGTTTAGAAGGTACTTCTTCCTTTATCCTTAGTAATAATAAAGATTCCCAAGGCTCTGCCTCATGCTCCATGTCCTGGTGAAATTCACTCAGAGGTTTAGCTGTAGTCATTGTATAGGTGACATACAACCCATTTTATACTGCATTTTTTCATTTTCTCAGTTTTATTTCCAATATCATTGTCCTTATAATGTTGCAAAATAGTTATCTTTTCAAAAGTTATTAATTCTTTTTTTTTTTTTTTTGGAGAGATTTTCGCTATAGGGCACATGCGCTCGCCAGACAAACAGAGAGACATAGAGACAGAAAGCGCGAAATCACCCCCCAGGGGGGATGGTCACGCCGCAATCCCTTCTCCTCAATTCTCCTCTCGGGATCTTGGGCACGCACGCACACGCGCCCCGCGTGAGTTTTAAGCCACCGGGTCCGGGACTCGAACCGTGGTCAACTACATGGGAGTCCAGTGACATAGCCATTACGCTAACTGCTGGTTCCCAAAAGTTATTCATTCATTTTAACAAATAAATTTATTCTCTCCTTTTTCTGTCCAAAAAAACTCTCCTTTTCCTGTCTAAAATAGTCCCTCCCTTAACAACTTCTATAATAACAGTGATATTTCTTTACCAGTTTCCAAGAAAAAAAATTGTGATTTTCTTTTTTAGTTAATATGGTCTTTTAATTCCTACTTCTATGATTGATCTCTTTCTTTTATTGTTCTACTTTTTTCCTTTATTGTTCTTTTTACTTTTAGGGTGTATGAAAATAGGGACCAGCAGTTGGCATAATGACTATGTCACTGGACTCCCTTGTAGTTGACTGCTGTTTGAGTCCCAGACCTGGTGCCTTAAACTCATGCCAGGAATGTGTTGCATGTGTGCCCAAGATCCCAAGAGGAGAATAGAGGAGAAGGGATTGCGGCGTTACCATCCCCTCCGGGGGGTGATTTCTCGCTTTCTGTCTCTCTGTCTCTCTCTGTCTATCTGGCGAGTGCACACGCCCTATAGCAAAAACCACTCAAAAAAAAGAAAGAAAGAAAACAAATGATCAAGCCCATTTATAGCCCCATGACTCAAATTATTACCGTATTCTAAAACTTATTTCCAAGGTTCATAGCAGCCATAATATTTCTAACGTTTATCTTGTATTTTTGCTACGTTATCCATTATTCGAGTACAAGCCTCACTTTGAACTTCTGTAATGGGTTTCAGTACCTGTTTCCTGCCTATAAGTTTCATATTGCTGCAGTCTTTTTTTTTTTTTGAGAGATTTTTGCTATAGAATGTATGCGCTCTCCAGAGAGACACAGAAACAGAAAGTGAGAAATCAGTCCCCAGAGGGGTTGGCCACATCGCAGTCCCTTCTTGTACACTCCACTTGAGATTTTGGGAATGCACACACACTCACCCAACGTGAGTTTCAGGCAGCCAGATCCAGGACTTGACCTGCTGTTGGTCATGTGGCAGTCCAGTACCTTAACCATGCCACATTCTGGCTCCTGCCATAGTCCTTTTTTCAAAGTTTTATTTTAGAATTATTTTATTTAACTTTATTTATTTACTTCAATTTGACCAGAGAGGGACAGATGAGAGAGAAAGAAAGGAAAAATGAGAAAGCAAGCTGACAGGTTCAGGACTCAAACCAGTCAGCCATGTGGGAGTCCAGCACCCTTAATCACCACGCCACCTGTTAGTACCCCCCCTCCCCTTTTTTTAGAGGTTTTTGCTATAGGGCATGTGCGCTCGCCAGAAAGACAGAGAGATAGAAAGCGAGAAATCACCCCCCAGGGGGGATGGCCATGCTGCAATCCCTTCTCCTTCATTGTTCTCTCGGAATCTTGGGCACACACGCACACGTGCCCGGCATGAGTTTTAAGCCACTGGGTCAACTACATAGGAGTACAACGACATAGCCATTACGCTAACTGCTGGTCCCCCCCCGCCCCCTTTTTTAAGAGAGATTTTTTGCTATAGGGCGCATGCGCTTGCCTGAGAGACAGAGGAAAAACAGAGAGACATCACCCTCCAGGGAGGATGGTCATGCCACGATCCCTTCTCCTTCACTCTCATCTTGGGACTTTGGGCATGTATGCACATGTGCCCAACGTGAGTTTTAAGCCACTGGTTCTGGGACTCAAACTGCAGTTGACTACAGTTGACTGTGTGGGAGTCCAGCAATATAACCATTATGCCTTCTGCTGGTCTCCTTGCTGTAGTCTTTTAAAGCATTATTCATAACTAAATCACTGACATTATGGAAATCCTTCAAAGATGTGTAACTTGAAGGATTCGGCAAAACTGAGAGCAAGAAGACTATGAAGTCTTAAAAGCAAGCATGTTATCTTCAGGTATTTATGCCTAGTATCCTACTGATTTTAATCTTATTTACTTATTTGATCTTATTACCGCTAATTAGCTTTTGACTGCTAATTAATTTAATCTTCTGTTATGTCTTTTCCCATCAGGATTACTAGGCACTTTCGATTGTAAGCTGAGTTTAATTAGATGCAATTGATTGTCCCAGTGTCTATCCTAATAAGAGCTCAGCAGAAAAACTCCAGATACTATTTATGTATATAAAGAAAGGCTAGTAAGGTGTTCACCGTTAGTCATTTTGTAGGTGTTCTGTGTCAGGTTTAGACAGTCCCTTCTATTCCTAGTATGTAAAGTTTTTTTGTTTTTGTTTTAAATCATGAATGGGTGTTGAATTTTTGTTAGATTCACTTTCTGCATTTTTGAAAATCTTTTCTTTATTCATGGTAGAGCCACATGCATGTGAGAGGGAGAAGAAGAAAGAGAACCTTTCACAGGGTTTGGTCATGCTATGATCCCCTTCCTCCAGTCCCTCCAGCCCATGGAATGTTGGGCGCTTGCACACATGCCTGGTGTATTTCAGGTAGACTTGGGCAGGATTCTTTTTTTAAAGGTTTTTATGTGCATTCACCAGAGAGGGACAGAGAGATGGAAAGTGAGAAATCATCCCACAGAGGGGATGGCCACGCCACAATCCCTTCTCCTCCATTCTCCCCTCAGGATTTTGGGCATGCATGACATGCGCCTGGCATGAGTTTGAAGCCACCAAGTCTGACTTGAAAATTGAAAGATTTTCAAGTAATGGTTATGTCACTGGACTCCCATAGTTGACTACGAGGGAGTCCAGTGACATAACCATTACACCACCTGCTGACCCCACCCAGCATGTTTTTCAAGACGCTGGGTCTGGGACTCAGACTCTGCAGTCAGCCATGTGGATCTAGCACCTTATCCACCACACCCCTAAGGGATCTGACCTCTCTTGAGCAGCGAATATTACTGTTGTGTCATGGAGTTGGGCCTCTGCATTTTTTAAGATGATCATATTATTTTTCTTTCTTAATCTTTTAATGTAAAGCATACTAAATGATTTTAAATGTTAAACAAACTGTTCATTGCTGGGCTAAGCTCCCCTTCATCATGATTTTTTTTTTTTAAAGATATTGTGAGATTTAATCTGTTAAAATTTCGTGTAGCGCGTTCACATCTTTATAACTGGCTATTGCGTTGTCAGACGTCATGATACCTTTTTGCATGGAAAAACAGAAAAATACGTCATGACTTTTCCAATGCTCCAGTAGTAAGTGGCAGAGGAAAATGATTTGAGTCAACAGGCCTCTCTGACCCAAAGTTGGCTTATGTGATTTATCGTTCGATTTTCCATTTCCAGTACTTTCACTTTTCCTCTGCCATTTGCTCTTAGCTCACTTCCTTTCTGAAGCTGTGTTTGATTACAGTCACTGTGAATAGCTACTACTCCTGTTAGCTCAGCCATGAAGTATAACTATAGTTTACTATTTATCTGTCAATGTTAGGTTTATATTTGCAGGTAGCTTTTTTGTTACACCTTCTCTAAATTATTCTCTTTTCATCAGGAGTGTGTCATCTGTTTAATAATTTTCCACAAGATTCTACTGTAGTATCCTTCATAGGCTTCTAAGTTATTATCTAATGGAATAATATCTCACCTAATTATCAGCTTCTTTAAGCTGCTCATTTCCTCTTTATAATAGGATCTCAGCCAGCCTGGACCACAGGCATGTACGTACTTGGCATACTCAGGGAGATCCCAGGACTTAAACCCAGGACTTGTCCCATGTAGGTCCAGTTGTGTTACCAGTGCACCACTACCTGGTCCTGACCATAAGCGAATTTTTGAAATCTCTCAAAAATAATTTCTGCTGGGAACCAGCAGTTAGCATAATGGCTATGTTGCTGGACTCCCACGTAGTCGACCGTGGTTCACGTCCCGGACCCAGTGGCTTAAAACTCACGCTGGGTGTGTGTGCGTGCATGTCCAAGATCCCAAGAGGAGAATGGAGGAGAAGGGATTGCGGCGTGACCATCCCCCCTGGGGGGTGATTTCTCGCTTTCTGTCTCTATGTCTCTCTGTCTATCTGGCAAGTGCACGTGCCCTATAGTAAAAAACCTCTCCAAAAATAATAATAATAATAATAATAATTTCTGCTGACAATGCATTTCCTTTCTTTTTTTGGAGAGTTTTTTTTTTTTTTTTTTTTTGGAGAGGTTTTCACTATAGGGCGCGTGCGCTCACCAGACAGACAGAGAGAAAGCGAGAAATCACCCCCCAGGGGGGATGGTCACGCCGCAATCCCTTCTCCTCCATTCTCCTCTCAGGATCTTGGGCACACACGCACATGCGCCCGGTGTGAGTTTAAGCCACTGGGTCTGGGACTCGAACTGCTGTCAACTACATGGGAGTCCAGTGACATAGCCATTACGCTAACTGCTGGTCCCAATGTGTTTCCTTTCTTTATATCCATACCTATTTTGTTGTTTATTTTTAAATGGTTATAGTCACACTGTATATATAAATTTGCATCTCCTGCAAGTCCTGCATCTTCCTTTGTTTCCCCCTTTAGTTTTTACTATGGCGTATGTGCACTTGCCTGAGAAAGTCAGAGAGAGAGAGAGAAGGTTAGAAATAACCCCCAGGGGGATGATTACACTGCAATCCCTTTTCCTGTCCTCCATTCTCCTCTTGGGATTTTGGGCACAAATGCACATGCACCCACTGTGATTCTCAAGCTGCCAGGTCCAGGACTTGAACCGTGGAGGGGGTCATTTCAGATCCAGCCACTTTAACCTTCATGCCACCTGTTGACCTTATTCCCCCTTTAATATTTTAATTATTTTTGGTTAGATTTTGAGAGGAAGAATGAGTATATCAAGTTATGAATATTTAAAAATATATATTGCCACATTCTTTTTTTAAAATGTATTAATTTATATAATTTTATTTATTATTATTTTAAATTTGACTAGAGAGAGACAGAGAGAGAGAGAGAAAGGGAAAGCGAGAAAGTAAGCCGCCAGGTCTGGGACTTCAACCATGATCGGTCATGTGGGAATCCAGCTCCTCTAACCACCACACCATCTGCCGGCCCCGCCACACTCTTTTTCAAAAGTATTACTCCAATAATACTTTAACAGTCAAATCTGGTATTTCTGATTTCACCATACCTGTGCTTAAACTGGGCATTATAACTTCTACTTGTGATCACAAAACAAATAAAAGGTTCCAAACTGTTCTAGGTTGCCTTCTGTTTTTTTTTTTTTTTTCCCAAATGTAAGTTTTTTTTTTTCATAAACATATTACTGATTGTGCCCTATTGCATATTAAAATATGGATTTTAGGGGCCAGCAGGTGGTGTAGTGGTTAAGGTGCTGGACTCCCACATGATCGACCACAGTTCGAGTCCTAGATCTGGTAACTTGAAATTCACATTAGGCAGGTGTGCGTATAAGCTCAAAATCCTGAGAGGAGAATGGAAGAGACGGGATTGTGGCATGGCCAACCCTCTCCCTGAGGGGGCTGGTTTCTAGCTTTCTCTCTCTCTGCCTCATTCTGTCGTTCCAGCAAGCACACATGCCCTATAGCAAAAAATCTCTCTCTCAAAAGAAGAAAAAGAATGGAACCAGTAGTTAGCGTAATGGCTATGTCGCTCGACTCCCACGTAGTCGACCGCAGTTCATGTCCTGGACCCGGTGGCTTAAAACTCACGCCGGGCGCGTGTGCGTGCGTGCCCAAGATCCCGAGAGGAGAATGGAGGAGAAGGGATTGCGGCGTGACCATCCCCTCTGGGGGGTGATTTCTCGCTTTCTGTCTCTAATGTCTCTCTCTGTCTGTCTGGCGAGCGCATGCGCCCTATAGTGAAAATCTCTCCAAAAACAAAAAAAGGATCCCCTTTTAAATAATTGGACATGCTTATACTCACAGTGTAGTGTTTCTTTACTATAAAGATAATCACTTGTTTTTAGTTCAGGATTAATGGTTCGGGTTACCATTCGAAATTATCCTCAAGATCTGAAAGATTTTCTAATACTCTTAATTAATGAAAAATGACTTTTATGATGATGTGAATGATAAAGAAGTATTTGAGATCCATCCAACTGTGTGTATTTGTGTAGTTTCATTGACTCAAAATAGTTCTAATAGGAGACCAGCAGTTAGTGTAATGGCTATGTCGCTGGACTCCCATGTAGTTGACTGCAGTTCAAGTCCCGGACCTGGGGGCTTAAACTCATGCTGGGCACGTGTGCGTGCGTGCCCAAGATCCCGAGAGGAGAATGGAGGAGAAGAGATTGAGGCGTGGCCATCCCCCCTGTGGGGTGGTTCTCGCTTTCTGTCTCTGTCTCTGTCTCTCTCTGGCAAGTGCACGTGCCCTATAGCAAAAAAAACTCTCCAAAAAAAAAAAATTGTTCTAATAGCAAGATAATCATAGAAGTGTAAGATTTATATCAGGAATAATTAAGTTTTATTAAAATAATCTATCCCAAATATTTTTTTTCCTTTCAAGGTATCACAGACGTCGTAAGAAACTGGACCCTCCAAAAGACAGATAACGTCGAGGTTCTCAGAGGACTCAGAAACATGCCCCATTTGTCATTTAAGAAAATCCCATGTGGTGTATTCACTAATAGATTGTGTAATAAAATAATAATAAATTTTCTTTTCACATTTTAAAATGTGTATTTATTAATTTTGAGGATATCACAATTTTTTTTAGGGTTTTCTCATAGAGTATGTGCACTCACTGTAGAAAGACAGAGAGACAGAAAGTAAGAAATAGTCACCCCTAGGGGGAGATGTCCTTGCTTTAATTCTTTCTCTTCCATTCTTCACTTGGGATTTTGGGGCCACATGCATACAAACCTGGTGTGATTTTTTAAGCTGCCAAGTCTGGGACTTGAACCATAGTCAATCAAGTTGGAGTCTAGTGCCTTAACCACCCTGCCACTAGCTGGCCCCAGGATTTCACATTCTTATTTAGAGAAATGCATTTGTCTTCTTTTCCTTTTGAGATACTTACATTTTATTTGTTTTTATGTGATTGGTATGAAATCAGCCAAGTATGACTAATAAATATATACATTGTTCTTTTTGGTTTTTTTTTTTTTTTTTTTGAGGGGTTTTTACTCG